TTCTATGCATTCATAGAGCTCTACAAGGGCATGCAGAAGTATGTATACCTTTTCTAACTTTGGAGAAGATGAGGGTGATGATGACTCCCAAGATTTAATCCTGTTCAGAACTTGTTCAATCTTGTTTGTGCAAGGGTGTGATGTGCAGGGGAAGCTAACAGAACGGGCATGGTAGCAGTTAAGTGACTTTGGTGATGAAAGAATAACCATCCTTCTGATTGAGTAGAAGTTCATAAAAGGGTTTGTATTGGTTTTGTTGGCAAGCATTTCTGCTCCTTTTATACACACACAAAAGATACATCTGAAGAAGACAAACGGCAGGTAAAATGCATTTTCTTGTTTTCATTTTTTATTAATTTTTAGTTTAGTAGGCTTCGTGACCATCACGTTAGCATGTGAAGTAAATGCATGTGGGGTTTCATTTGCATGGGTCTATAATCTTGACAAGTTTTTGAAAAATGGGATAAACCTTGGTGCATGAACACGAAACACAACCAACTGAAACATAATTTTGAATTGAAAAACTGGAAGTTTGCTCTAGATTCATTTGTTGGTGTACACTTTCTGTAGAGTTTCCGAAATTCAAGAACGTTGCTTTCAAAGAATCTTGCTTCGTACTGGATGAATGTACCATATCAAATACTGGACTCATCCCAAGAAGTGCCTCGTTTAGATATATACGAAGTATATATTATGTTTAATTTGTTTGGGACTCTTGGATACATTGTATGAAAAATTGTTTGTTTGTTGTAACCACTTCTTGGGTTTTTTTTCTTAAAATAAGACAACTTATTTGTGACACATTTGCACCCATGTTTTGCAATTTCATATAATAATAAAAGCTTAATAATATTTGTTGGGCCAAACAGCCTTTCACTTTCCCAACCAATATATCTTTGTCAGGGGCATTAACGAATGTGAGCTGAGTTCGAAAATCTCGAGTTTGGCGAGATTTTGAAATAGGAATGTTCGGGTTCGAGCTCTAGGCCTGACGAACTCAAAAGATGTGCCCGGCTTTGCTCAATTTACGTTCGACAAATATGCTTGAATTAAGGATTTTATAAGATAAGTTCTTTTATCTTTTTATCTCTTTATTTTTTATGTTATTTTGATCTTTTACAGAGTATTTATCTTTACCTTGTTCATTTTATCTTACTATATCTCTTTATTCTTCTTATCTTTCTTCTCTTTTTGCCTCCGATATCATGGATCGATTCATGTTAGCTGACCCCAATTTTTTTTGGGAATTAGGTTTGGATTGTCCAATAGGCTCGATAGTTCATTAACTCAACACTATGATGCTCGAGTTCGACTCTAATAATTGTTCAAACTTTAAATGTGGTTCGTATTCTCGCTAAGCTTGGTTCGTTGAGCTCAAACACGGTTCGTTATAGGCAATTGCCAAATCAGGTTCATTAATCTCGTCGGTTCGTTAACAACCCTGCTATTATTATAGGGCCACAGGCCACAGCCAGTTCAGGTTTATGAAAGGTTCATTCTCCCAAAAAGATGTCGGTTAAGTGTACTACGATAAACTAAGAATGACGGCCCTTCCCAAAGCTGTCTGGATAGGAAGAACCTCTGACACAAAGTAGTGAAGAAGCATATGGGGTCTAGAGAGATCATGAGGCATTTCCAAGTCCCAAGATACAGAAAGATGTTATGGTAGTTAAGAAAAAAACAATTTGTGGATTTTTATAATGTGTACACGAGGTGCATGGTCTCACTTTGTTCCCAATGGTGGCTCCAGCCAGTTCATTCTCTGAATAATCAATTGTTATTTGTTGTGAACAGATACAGCTAATGTGCTTGTACCTGATAAATGCACCATCCCACTGCTAGATGTATTTACTACCTTCCCAGTTTCAACAATTGCATTTTAAAACGACTAAATTGCAATTCTAGTCAATTATTGCAGATCTAAGTTCTTGTCATTTGATGCATCTTCTTGATTCTTCGGATCTAATCTAGTTATATAAGCATCACGATGCTGTGTTAAGGGGCCGTCATTAATGATATCATTTAAACCTCTCGTCCATGATCTGTTTTTAGAATAGATCTTTTTGTACACAACGCTTACTCAAAGTGTACATATTGAATCCAATTCAGATGATTTATTGTCTAGTTATTATAAAGAGATTTATCTAAAAAACTTGTACATTGCTATGAATAACATTGATTTGTGCACCTCCAAACAACTATTGTCTGGTAGAGGTGGACTCGGGCCGGTTCGGGCCCGGTTCGGGCCTAAGCCCGGCCGGGCCTCGGGCCAGAAAACTAGGGCCCGAGCCCGAACCGCCGGTGGCCGGTTCCAGTTCCGGTTCCGGGCCAAACCAAGCCGGGCCGGGCCGAACCGGTCCATTTTTTTTTTATTTTGGTTCTCCTATTTAACCCCCTACCCCTCCCCCTCAACCCCAAACCACCCCAAACCAGCTCAAATGTCCCAAAATACCTAATCCAACCCAAAACTTAAAAAAATTTCAAAAAAAAAAAAAAAAAAATCCGGACCGGACCGGGCCCGAACCGGCCGGGCCGGTTCACCAAAAGTAGGGCCCGAGCCTGGACCGCCCATCACCCGGGCCGGGCCAAACCGAACCGCTGGACCCACCGGGCCCTGGGCCGGGTCGGGCCAAACAGTAACCGGGCCGGTTCCGGGCCGGGCCACCCGGCCCGAGTCCACCCCTATTGTCTGGTGTCTCCAACATGAATTATTATGGATTTTAATAGAATTTTGAATTCCGTCATAATTTGTGTGTCCCCAATATAAATTTCTATGGAGTCATTGGTGTTCCAGTCATTCCATGGATTTCAATTATTAAATTTTGGGATATATTTTAAATGATTTTGATGGAATTTTACATACCAAAGATTGCGTGACCCCTCGGATTTCGAAAGATTCGGATTTCAAAAGTAAAGAAACAAACTCAAAAGGACATATAAACACTATCATAGTGTTGTATTTTCCGGCTTGCATACCATGGTATAGAAAGTTTCCGGTGTTGGTCACCGGCAAAGAGAGCCGTATGAACACTACTAGTTGGAGTTGTTATATATGGCGGTACTTGTGATATTTCAGCATGGGATGCGTTTTATCTGGCAGTTTTATGGATGTTTAATACTCTTGGTTGGGTTGCTTTTTATTGGCATTGGAAACACATAACCTTATGGCAGTTTTGTCGAAAGAGACGTCCACCAACATCAAACCTATTAAAAAAATTATTTTAAATGCATATTATATATCAATGAAGAGAGTTCATTTAGCTTATGATAAAAAACTTATCTCTTTCGACTATTTATTTATTTTTTTGATCATTCTTTCGACTATTTATAAAAACCAAAACCAACAAAACAAAGGTTCCGTTGAATTTCAAATATGGAATTTCACCAATAGAATACACCGGCTTACTTCTCACTTGAAATTGCACAAAAAAGATTATTTATCTCAAAAAGATTATTTATCTCAAAAAGGGTTACGTAAGATTATTTATCCGGAATATGTATTTTCCGGACCAGTTAACTTGCAAAAATCATTTGACGACCTTCCCGATTGAATTTTTGGCTGAAATTTGGTATGGATGAACTAGACTTGATTAGGAACCTACACAAAAAATTTGAGCAAAAAATACCACCGGAAAGGCTCCCAAATGGAGGAGGCCGTACGGGGCTCCGGTCAGGTATACCTGACCGGAAGACTACTCTATATATATATAGGAACACTTATTCACAAAAACATTCTTTACTCGAACTAACTAGTTTCAACTTAAACTAATACTAAAATTCGGGATGGAATAAAAGATATAGTATTTACCGAGAAACGGATTTAGTTATTAAAATATTAAAAAATAATAAATAGTTTTTTATGTCCACGTCATAAACTTTGAGTAGTGCTACGCTTCTGGCAAAGGGTCACATAAAGGTAGGCCCTCCCTATTAGAGGACATATAATGATGCAATGGCTACTGCAGATAATTAGACGTCCACCTCCAGATAATTAGACGTCCACCTCCAAAAAAGAAAGACATCAAAATATTATATTTTCTTGTTCCTTTTGTAAGTGGTGGAAGCTGCATCACCTACCTATTTTCTGTTTTTTGTTGTTCACTACTTTAGTCACCTGAGAAATCCCTATACATTGACATGTTGTGCTTGTGTAACCAAAGCTCGATCGGCTAAGGCCTAAGGGTTATACATGAGAGGAAGAAGAGAAGTAATCGGCTTTGCCTAACAAAATAGAGTTCTACAAGTACTAAAAATCATTAAAATCCACACAATTCCATCAAATTGAAATACATAGAATTCTACTCGAGTTTTACACAATCTATAGAATTCCATCAGGTTCCATAAAATTCACAATCTTTAAAAATCAATCAAAATCAATGTTGGGGACACCCCTTAATTTGAAAATTCACACAACCAACCAATGTTGATCAAGTTGTATGCATAGAGACAACTACCCCTTGGTTCCATTTATGAATTTTAAAATAAAGTTGCACTTGTGTTTACATTTACGCACTTCAAACTAAAATTATAGAGTACTTTGAGAAGGTACTTAAAGTGCGTTTCTTTTTTTAAATCAATTGTTTTCAACATTACGAACTTTTATTATTAAAAAAATTATGTTCATTTTATTATACTTGTATAGTTGTATTTGTTAGTCTTAAGCTAGAGAATAAATACACATTCAGTTAAATGGTTTATTTCTATATAATTGCTCATCTAAATGTAATTCTTTTCAATGACTATCAGTTCTCTCCAAGTCCTCCATTCATTTTGCCTTGTCAAAAGTTGAATCCAAACATGATCAAATGGGATTTGCCATATCCGATCCTCCAAATTTCTGGAGATCATAGAAAGAAGTGGGGTGATTAAAGAGTTAATTAGGATAGGGTGGATTAGACCGGTTAACGTTTATATTCGTTATTTAAAAAAAACGTTTATATTCGTTAATTGCACCCCCTCCAGTGTACTAGCCTTTGACCCGAGTCACTTTGCTCACCATCTTTGCTAATGCGACACAACCAAAACTTCAATGTTTATCACATGAGTATTATAACTTTAGATACTATCATCACACAAGACTGATAATTCACATTGTTTTCATGTACATTATTGTTATGAAATTATTCGTATATCAGACGCGGCCCTCGCATAATATAACATATGCAGTCTTGAAGGTCGTTGCATACAATTTTTCATTTTATTTGTTGTGATTGAGTACACAAGATGTTTTTATTTTCAGGTGGAAGCAAGAGTCGCAGTGTATGGAGTTTGAGCAGAGCAGTCCAAATTGTCTCCATAGGCTATGCCGAAAATGTCGCAATAGCGTTTGTAGAATCCAACGCGGTCATCGGCTTTATCCTTCGCACCGCCACTACCACACTCAACCCCACCATTAATGATGTTAGTGACCAGCCCATAACCCGGGACACGACCGGCCGCTGTGTCAGTGGCAGACGGTGTCCATTTACCGGTCATCACGTCGTGGCAAGACGGCTTTGCACCCTGAGGTGTCATCCAGAACCACAATGCTGTCTTGAAGGACACGGTCGAGTCTGTGGCGACTAGGTCAGGGTTACTTATAAGATCATAGCCAAGTGCCTGTCCTGCTGGACCATAGTTGTAGTTGCTGCCAAATTCCAACATCCAACAAATTGAAGTCATCATGATTGAATTATGTTCAAATTCAAAGTAACTCTACTTTTTTCTTGTGTTACACATCTTTTGAAATCATCATTTTAAACATATGTCTAATACTAGTATATCAAGATTCAAACTAACATATATACGGATTAAGAGTGTATGTCATATAAATGGATGGAACTTCAAATCTTAATATGAGCATTATAGCCTATCAAGTTTAAGCGAGCAATGATTGATAACGTCTCCAAAGTAGTATACTACTTTTAATATCAGACATGTTAAGCTATCTAATACAACTTGTAGTCCAAATATATTAGGAGTCCAAAATGTTAATGTGGACATTTCGGACTCCTAAATTCGTACATTAGGAGGCTTTTTGTTGATTGTTTTCGTATAAACGGAGTTCATATTTAAGCTTTGTGACAATGTGGATGTGAATAGTCTTAAGGTTAATATTTAAGTTATGAATCCTGGGCTACATTCTAATATATGAATAGTTGAGGTGAATTACTTACTAAGAGATTTGAATAGGACCACGCCCAAAGTACTTTTGGCCAGGAGCACAAGACCAGGCTTGAGTGACGTTGCAGTAGGAATCTGAGGTGTTTTCTCTTAGAAAACAATACCCCCACGCATATCGACCATCCGGTGCTGTATCCCATCCACCTTTTTTTGTTTACACAGTTCAATAGTAACAAATCAAATATATAGCTAAAACAGGTTAGGATTACTGAAAAATTTATGTCTACTCGGTATTTGTACAAAGATCAAGTGATTAAACGATTGGGTCAGTATAGGTAAAAAACCAAGTAAATGTTAACACATGACGGGTTCAATGTTTTTATCAAATTTGATGTGGGTCAGAGCCTAGTGATATAGTGATCATATATGATACTTATATATTGTTCATCCCCTATGAGTTATGAGTCTTGGGTAAGTTATCCAAGAGATTTTTTTTTGTATCACGCTCCTCTCTATTAAGGCTCTCCATCATACTATTGAAATGAGTTTGTTTGGTGTTATATTAAAATGAGTATAATGTTTATAATAGATGTGTATTGACCTTAATGGTGGATCTTGAAATCACATGTTGGGTGTTCCAAATTAATCTCCCACTAAAGTATTGGATAATGATATTTTTGATTTAACATTTGATGATATGTAACTTGTTCAATTAGGATGTTTTCTTTTGGACTGAAATTTGTTGGTCTGGTCTGGTCTGATCTTGTCTAGTCTGGTCTGGTCTGGTCTGGTCTGGTAATAGGGACGTAGCCAGGAATAAAAGTTGGATTGGGCCGGTACAAAGAATTCTTACATAAAAAAGTGTACACATAAATTTTTACATTAAAAATATAAGCAATTTTGAAATTTGGGATGAGCCGTGGCCCGGTAGGCCAACCCTCCACCTCCACCCCTGTCTGGTAAACGTCTGGTCTCTGTGTATTTTATAACTACGGAAGTCAAGTCTGGTCTGATCTGGTCTGGTTTGGAACTGAAAACAGTTCAAAAGAAAACGTCTTTGCTATTATCTTAATTTTATATATTTTCGTTTTGAAAATAGTAGAGTACAAAAAGTCGCGACTGAAAAAAAGAATGATGGTATAATACGTCACGTATGTAAGAAAAGTCAAAAAGTCAAAAAAGGCAACGAACCAGTAGTCTCGTGGGAGGTCTGGCCCAAGAAAGCGGCGACTTCTCTCTTAATCGTGTCCGAGTCTCCGGTCGTCCCGAATTCTCCGTAAGATTTCACGGCGGCGATGAACGCATCGTACGTATAAAACCCTGGCGCGTGGCAGCGGGAATCGTCTTTGTACTTCAGCATCTCGTCGAAAACAGACTGGCTGATGACGCCGCTAATATCGCCGCCGCCGGCACTGGGGGGCGTCGGAGTAGCGGGCGGAGGAGGCGCTCCGGCTCCGGACGACCAACACTGGCTCTGGCAGCCGGAACTCGGAGAACAGTATTCCGCGGTGTTGCCGCAATAGCCGTACTGGCTGCAACAATTCCCGGCGGCGCATACGGCTCCGCCGGCTTGGCTTCCACATTGTTGTGCGTGGGATGCATTTACGAATAATAATATGAATATGCAAAATCTGATGGCCAACCTCATTTTCTTTTCTTATGTGACAAAATTCAATTTACTTCCTATATGTGGCGGAATATTGGATATACATTATATATAGAGCTTGTGTTTGACGATTTGGGAATAGCGGGTCATGTGGATTCAATTAGCGGGTTTGACACTTGACTAGTGGAATAAGTTAACCGGTTGTCACAAGATATTTGGTAATGTAACTATTTGTCCAATTAGTAGAAAACGTCATATTTTAAAGTGTTAATCCAAAACTCTCATATTTACAACGTTTATTTTTTTCAACAACTCTGTCTAAAAATGGTAGAACCGAACATCTATTTATCAAACACTATTTTCATTTATCCAAAATGTTAAAAGTGATCAAACCGTCATTTGTTGGCTGAAAAGCCATTTTCCAAACACCCCTATATTCTCCCTCTATTCCAAATAAGTTTATGCCGGCTTGGCTTCCACATTGTTGTGCGTGGGATGCATTTACGAATAATAATATGAATATGCAAAATATGATGGCCAACCTCATTTTCTTTTCTTATGTGACAAAGTTCAAATTACTTCCTATATATGGGGCTTGTGTTAGACGATTTGCGGAAAGCGGGTTATGTTAGTTGATTCAATTAGCGAGCTTGGCTGGCGGAATAAGTTGACGGATTGTAAGAAGATATTTGGTGCCCGTTTGGTAGCACTGTTATTTGGCTTATCAGCCAACTTTTTCACCAAACACGTAACTTTTGATTTCATGCGTTAAAATGTGTAATAATAAGAAAAAATAAGGCTGGTGTTACTTTTCTGGCTGTTTCGGCTGAAATTAGCTATTTTTACATATAACTTTTTCTTTGTTTTATTAATAAAATATATTTTAAATTTAATTTTTTCATAAATCAGAATCAGCCAATACAGCCACTTAATCTAGAACTTCATAAATTTCAGTAGGATCAGCTGATTCAGCCGATTTCAGTGTTACCAAACGGGCTCTTGGTAATGTAACTGTTTGTCCAATTAGTAGAAAACATCATATTTCAAAGCGTTAATCCAAAACTCTCTTATTTACAACGTTTTTTTTTTCAGCAATTCCGTCTAAAAACGCTAGAGCCGAACATCTATTTATCAAACACTATTTTCATTTATCGAAAATGTTAAAAGTGATCAAACTAGGGGTGGACCGGGACCGGTCGGACTGGCCCAGTGCCCGGCCCAGACCGCCACTGTGCAGTACCGGACCGACCCGGTTAACCGAGACCGGGCCTGGGGCCCGGACGGGGGTGGGTGGGGGCGGGTCACTGTCTTAAGGCTCCTTAAAACCAGCCAGGCCAGTCCGGGACCGGTTCGGGCAAAAAAAAGTATTCTTTTTTTTTTCGAATGGATTGGGGGGTAGGCGGGTTGGGTGGTTTGGGGGTGTTTGGAGGTGCGGGGGGGGGGGGGGGATAGGAACAAACAAGGAAAACAAACAAACATGACCCGACCCGGGCCGGTACCGGGCCTAATGCCCAAAAAATCCGACCCGCCCAAGACGCAACCCGGCCCGATCCCGACCCAGGCCTGGTCCACCCCTATATTCTCCCTCCATTTGTTGGCTGATAAGCCATTTTCCAAACACCCCTATATTCTCCCTCCATTCCAAATAAGTTTATGTTTGACTTATTTTTGTGAAAGTCTGATATTAAGGTTTAACTTTATTTTATGTCAGAGGGTGATAAGCTCGTATTTCAACACGCATTTGATGCGTGTTGGGGTTGGATTTTATGGGTTTTCTTTGCTTTAAGGCGTTGCAAGTCTCAATTTTAGCTCAAGTTATGTTTACCAGGCGTTGGTTCGAATTTTGTTGCATTTGGAGTCAAATTGAAGAAGTTAGAGTTCGGCAATCGGCGCTTTAGAGGCAATTGGTGAAGAAAGAGCATTTAGATCGACCTCATATGCACCCGGGAGCGTTTGGAGCAAGAAAACAAGAGAAAAGAGCGAAAAATATGGATGCACGATCGTGTGTCAGTTACAAAAAAATGAGAGCTCACTGCCTGCTACGCACGATCGTGCGTAGCCAGGGATGCACGATCGTGCGTAGCCCCGAGTTACGCGCAAATTATTCCCACATCGGCCAGAATTCAGAATTTTTCCCCTCTTTTCTATAAATAAGGCCCCCTCACCCTTTTTAAGGGTTACGAACATTACGGAGAGGCCTATGGACGAATTTATTCATTGTTTTACGCTATTTTACTCCAAGACCCTGTGATTATTTGTAAGTTCATCTTTTTAATTAATGACAATTTATTCTATTCATCCCAATTCTATTGATTCTTCAATTATGAATTGTGAGCAGTTTAATTAGGGATTTGGGGTTGATGAAGGGGTTAATCATGATTTATGGCTAGATTCTTGATGGATTAATTGCATGAATGCCGTTTAATTTGTGTGTGAATAATTTAACTGATATCTCTTGTAACCTAGAACACGCACTAGAATTACAATTGCTTGTAGAATATGTTAAGAAAGATCTAATTTATTCTAGGACACATTCACACACACTTAATCGTTCGCTAAGAGATTAGTAGCGATTAAGGGGCCGTAGGCTTGCTCATCTTGGCAATAATTTAGGATCTTGTCGCATGAGAGATCATCCCGGTCCCCTAAATTATTGTACTCTACGCCGCGAGAGCGGTAAGAACTTAGTAATGATTAGCTAGGCTCAATTAAATTAATTTCATGTAATTAGGTCTGTTCTGCCAGAAATCTGGTTACCCAGGAATCAATCCATGTTCTCTTCGTCGTTAATTAGAAAGAAACCAAGCTTTTAGTTTATCGTTCATTCGCATTAGTTTAATTTTAATTCACCAATCAATTTCGCACACTTGCATTTTTATTTTATTTATTTTCCTTTTAATCGCTGAATTTAGTTAATTCTTGATTCCCTTTTTCCGTCCCTGTGGAGACGATACTCGTACTTTTCACCACTATTCTACAATCTTTTTAAGTGCGAGAAAACTCACATCAGAGGGCCATCGTCTATCTATCTCGTAACAAGTCACCCAGAGCTCAACCTATGCCCCAAACCCTAGATTCCACAGACAATGGCACCGAAGAAGGAAAAGGCTCTTCAAACCGCCTCCAAGCCCGCCAAGACCGGTGGTGGCAAGAAGAAAAAGAAGAAGTGGAGCAAAGGAAAGCAAAAGGAGAAGGTGAACAACATGGTGCTTTTTGACAAGGCTACATATGAGAAGCTCTTATCGGAAGCTCCCAAATACAAGCTCATCACCCCTTCTGTCCTCTCCGATCGTTTAAGGATTAGTGGATCACTTGCAAGGAGGGAAATCCAAGAATTGATGGAAAGAGGTTTGATCAGGATGGTGTCTGCTCACGCCAGCCATCAGATATACACAAGGGCTACAAATACATAATCTTTTTGCAATTTAGCTAGCATGCAAAGCAAGTGTTGGTTACTTGTCAGACTACTGTTTTGTTTTTTATGTTGAATTTTGTGTTGCTATTCCCCTAAACTGATGATGAGATTGATGATGAGATTATTGTGCTGAGCATTTGGTTTTCACTTGTGTTCGTTCTCAAAATTTCCTTTAGAGTTCAATCATCTCTAACAATGTGTCTGATTGCAGCGCGATGCTGTGAACGCATTTTGAATCAAAAAACTTTATTTTATGTCAAATCAAATACCCTCATTCGTGAATTCTCTTCTAAAATTTACTTTTTATCCGTTCCAAAACAATTTTCATTTTTTTTGGCAAAAAAATCTGGTTCATATCATTTTTTACACAATTTTACACATTTATCTTTCTTCTGCACAGCTCTTCATCACACAATATCAACTATTTTAATTCTCACATCAAATTTAGTTTGGAAGATAATTTAGAGATGCGAGAGTAATACGTGTAAATTTGGCAAAAAGAAGAGAGCAAGGCAAATTATATTTAAACTCTCGTTTTATCGAAATTATAACCTCATTTGAGGATATAAAAAATGGGAGTTTTTTCAGGACCGATGTGGTGTATAGGTGTTTCTCTTTATTCAAAACTAGTATAGTACCCGTGCATACGCACGGGAAAGAGCAGTTGGTGCATATATTTTTATTCATGTTGTAATTAAATATTAAAATTAAAATAACAATTACTTTTTTGGATTCTACATTTTCAAAAAATAAGAGTTTAATAAGCGAATACCATAAAGTGTAAGCTCATACAATATATATTCAATGAAAAAGTATATTAGGAAAAATTAATTGACACCATTCATTAGAATTTGCTACTTATTGATTTTCATGATTAGATTAAGTGAGTACAATAAGTGAGTGGCATAAAGTTTAAGTGAGAACATTAAATATTAAAATTAAAGAATATTAGTTAAATAAGACCTTGTCACTCATTAGTAAATTAGTGCTAATATATGAGAGAGAAAATTATCCATCGTAATTCTTAGCCAACTTATCTTGTTATACCTAAAAGAATTACATATAAGAAAAAATTATCCCACTTAATTGTTAGGCAGATCATCTTATCTTATCTTATACTTAAAAGCATTACATATGAGAGAGAAAATTCTACCCATTATTTATTAGCTGACTTATCTTATATTGCGTACTTAAAAGAACTATGATAATTCTCCCGCTCGACTGTTACCGAACTTATCTTCTGATGCTTAAAATCACTACATATGAGAGACACGATTCTTTCGCTCATTTATTAGCAAGTTTATCTTGTCATGTCTAAAAAGAGTACATATGAGATATAAAGTTTTCACGTTCAATTGTTAGTCGGCTTATGTTATACCTAACAAACCTACATATGGAAGAAAAACTTTCCTGCTCAACTGTTACTCGGATTATCTTACATACTTAAAAAGAACTACACATGAGAGAGAAAGTTATATATCCCTCAATTGTTAGCTAGTTTATCCTCTTAGCTTCTTATGTCAAAAAGCACTACATATAAGTGACAAAATTATCCCGCTCAATTATTAGTCTTCTTATATAATGAGCGAGAAAGGTTATTCCACTCAATTCGTTATCCCGCTCAATTTTTAGAAATCTTATCTTCTTATACATAAAACTCAATTATTATTAAGTTTATCCTCTTATGCCTAAAATTCTTACATATAAGAGAGAAAGTTATCCTGCTAAATTGTTAAATTGTTAGTCGGCATACCTCATACCTAAAAACACTA